TCTTCAGGATCATTAGAAAATCACAGGTAGGTTTGTTTGATGATAGGGTTGGAGCTAAACTCTGCAGGAAAGTGGATCACGCGAGCCAGATTTGAGGATCACCGCTCTAAATCATTAAAACTGAGAAAACGTTTCAGCTTGCGAAGCCCCTTAAGCTGCAAAAAAACTGGCTCTGACTACAGAGTGCCAGGACACTGCTGTGAGCTAGCAGGGCTATAAAAGCTTTGGTGAACTGCAGGGCCGTGAAGGATCGAGAAAGATAAGTAGAAGACTGGTTTACAGGGCTAGAACAAGTAATCACACTGTCAAACAAAACCGGCCAGTGGTCAGACAGTCCGGCCTCACTAACAGTTACATTACTGACAGAGAAAACTGATGATAAAACAAGATCAAGAGTATGACCCAGCTTGTGTGTGGGACCCGAGACATATTGCATGAGATTACAGGTGAAAATTAAATTAGTAAGGTATTTTGCCCGTTCCAAAGAGATGGCTTCCTGAAATTTAGACAAGCTGCTCTGCCAGAGTTGATATGAAATTTGTAACTTATCCTTTTTCTATCTTCTTTCTGCCCTTCTGCAATCCTTCCTTAAAGCTTTAATGTTGTTATTAAACCATGGCTGATTTTTTGGTTTAGTCTTTTTGGATTTGAGAGGAGCAACTACATTTAAGATTGCTGAACAAGAGGAATTAAAACTATTTGTCAACTCATCAACACTTATATCCTGTGCTGCCAGGACACTGCTGTGAGCTAGCAGGGCTATAAAAGCTTTGGTGAACTGCAGGGCCGTGAAGGATCGAGAAAGATAAGTAGAAGACTGGTTTACAGGGCTAGAACAAGTAATCACACTGTCAAACAAAACCGGGCAGTGGTCAGACTGTCCGGCCTCACTAACAGTTACATTACTGACAGAGAAACCTGATGATAAAACAAGATCAAGAGTATGACCCAGCTTGTGTGTGTGACCTTAAACGTATTGTGTGAGATTAAAATATCTCTTGAAAGAGGTCTCGAAGGACAACACAGATGTATATTAAAATCACCAACAATCAAGAGATTATCAGCACCTGGAACCACGTCGGAAAACTCCTTTAAAAAGTAATTGTTAGCTTTTGGAGGTCTGTATATCAAAACACAGAGTAGAGGACTGGAAAGCTCCACCTTGCACATTAAAACCTCAAAACTAGAGTAGACATCAACAGGCAAAAGTTTACATTTGAACAGGTCCTTAAAAATGACAGCAACTCCTCCACCCCGACTAGAAGTTCTGGGGTAGCCAAAATGGTTGCAATGTACAAGGGAAAGTTCAGATAGAAGGCTTAGATCATCAGCCGTAAGCCAGGTTTCGGTAATAAATAAGAAATCTAAATTATTTGATAAAAAGAAGTCATTCATTAAAAATGTTTTGTTCATGACTGATCTTGCATTTAGCAAGGCCATTTTAATCTCAAGCTTATTTGACTCTTGTAATGAGAAGACATGCTGTGACGCCTCTGGTAGCAAGTGAAGGTGATTCAAGTTTGCCCCGCATGGGGATAAACAGCGTTGCCGCGACGGTCGCTCATTAGACAATATTGCAGGAATATTGCCTGGTATGGCAGTCATAGTCGACCGTGTACGCCATGTAGAACGAGCGCCAAGGTGACTATATCGTGATCGACGAAGAATCCCCAGACCAGCGCATCGTAGAAAAAAAAGTATCTGATGGCAGCATAACTGACCAATCATTCAATCGGATAAGTTCAGAGGACGTGAACGTAATTGCCATTTTCGGTAGAAATGAGGAGACATCAGAGAAGTGTCGTTCACTATTCCAAGTGACGATAATTCCCAGAACAGTCAGAAATAAACAGCAGACAGAGTACAAGTTCATAGTCAAATGTCCCATGGAGATAGACACTCACCGGGCAGATCCAAGGGAGTTCAATGGCATAATAATTATCCAAAACTTGCAGCCCAGATGCAGCAGAAGTCCGAGGAAAATTCTGTGGCAAAGACTCCAATGAAGCAATCACAACACCGCGTCGCCGACCCCCAGAGAACGACATAAACGGCAATATGTTAATTCAGAAGACGCCTTACACCAGGCCCGGTGTAGGCACCACTCCGACGGCAGCAGCGGAGCAAGATTCCCAGGTTAGCTTTAGCCTCAGATTGTATACTGCTTGAATTTAATATTGCACCAATCGAGGGGAACTCAGCCAGAAGAGAAATTCTCGGTTATCACCAACTTGAAGACATCGTAAAAATAATAACATAAGATAACTAAAATAATAACATAAGATAAATTAAATAAATAAAACAATAGGACCGGAGAGCAGCCGCAGACAATTCACACGGCGTTCACTCAAACCGGCGTTCACTTATTAGGCCTATAAGATCAGCATTTGAACACTGTAATAAACACACAAGAATGATCTGCTTGGTGACACTGTTATTTGTACTATTGCAAAATGAGATGAATGAAGAGCGCGTATGTCATGCCTGCGCAAACACGCAAAGGAAATGGGAAGTTTGGTTTATCAAGTTAATCCATAGTCCAGTGATAGAAGGTTAGTCAGTGATTTCAGCGAGATAGGTTCAAATCCCGGATTGTGGTGTTTTTTTTATTTTTTTTATATATATAAAAATAATATATAAAATTATTAATACAGATGTGTGTATTCTGCAGTTCGCTGGTTTATGTTACACCTTTTTTTTTTTCTTTTAGATAGAGCATGTCCATTTTACACTAAGCAATCTGTAGTGTGACTGAATTCAGTCCAGCTGGAGGGGGTTGGGGTTTGGGGGTAGTTCTGTATAGCTTGTGGTGGTTGAAATAAAGGTGTGGATGGTTTGCTCTTTCATATGGAGAGTGTGTTTGATGAGCGTTTCAAACTTGCAGAGCAAGTTTAGGCAAAGTGTCTGTTTTAGGACAAATGCCTCATTTGGTTTGCCTTTTGCAATTTTTGCAACGGCATACAGAGTATTACATACAATATAATATGGTTTCGTTTTTTTCTCAGGAGACATGAGGCGCCTCTGAGAGAGAGACAAAGAAACTGGCCAAAAGAGACGCGTGTCTGCCAGAGAGAAAAAAACTTTTGTTCTTAATGTATAAACTTTAACAGAGATGTCTAGAGGGTATTTAATAGGGCTGCCCCTCACATAAGATTTTTCTAGTTACTAGTAGTCGTTCATTTAAGTAATTATTCAACTAATCGCACGTTTATATTAAATTAACACAGTCTAATAATGAGCCTTAATATATTCGTAGTATATATAGCCTAATAAGTAGCCTAATAATTGTGAAAAAGGAGACATTTTAATTATTTAGAGACATGACGCGCCTCTGAGAGAGAGACAAAGAAACTGGCCAAAAGAGACGCGTGTCTGCCAGAGAGAAAAAACTTTTGTTCTTAATGTATAAACTTTAACAGAGATGTCTAGAGGGTATTTAATAGGGCTGCCCCTCACATAAGATTTTTCTAGTTACTAGTAGTCGTTCATTTAAGTAATTATTCAACTAATCGCACGTTTATATTAAATTAACACAGTCTAATAATGAGCCTTAATATATTCGTAGTATATATAGCCTAATAAGTAGCCTAATAATTGTGAAAAAGGAGACATTTTAATTATTTATTAATAAACTAATGTTTTCTTGTCAACTGCAAGATGAAATTCACGGTGCTGACTCTCATACTGGACGCGCCTTTAGAGGGAAATGCAACCTTCACATATTACATAATCAGGGAGTATTTGCTTTCGTTTTGAATTGGTTCATTTAAAAGTAGACATTTCGAGCTTTCTGTAGATATGTTTCTCATGCATGTGAGGCACCCCAATTTTAAGTTATTTCATTATCAGGAAAAAATTCAAGTGATCGAGAGGGCGCCTCCCTGTCATGCATGCGCATTAATAATTTTCCGCACAAACACTTGAATATGAATAGTAATAGAGCACATTTCTTTTAGGTTATAGTATGGATCCGCATTAAAAATAAATCTTCACAAGTCTACAACCGAGACAGATACAGTTATAACCTATAAATTGAAGGCTATTTGACGTTTTAAAACGATCTAATGGCCGATGCCGCTCCAATTCGTTGATCATTTGTTGTTTCTGATCAAGATTAAACGGATGCATGACTCTCATAAACTTGTTTTAATAAATCTCTTTTGCATTAAATAATAAAGATACAAAGCAGGTTAAGTTAAATATTATTGTACAAATAATTATAAAATGCTATTGTCACGAATCCGGTCTATGAACTTCCGTTCACTCACCACCAGAGGTCACCCCCTCACTACATGGACTCTCACACTACACAGACTGTTACACTATACCCTGGACTACATTTCCCATCATCCATTGCACTGATTGCACACAGCTGTAACCAATCACACGCTCACCTGAAAGCTATTACACACACTATATAACATCCACACAGATCCTGCTCAAGTCGTCGAGTATTGTTTGCGTTTATCGCTCTCCTAGTGGTAGCACATTACGGAGCCAGTTTCCTGTCCTAGTTTCTAGTCCTTTGTTCCTAGTCATAGTCTTGTCTTGCCTGCCTTCCCGTGTTACCTGATTTTTGCCGCAGTTCAGCCACAGTCATGTCATCCTTGTTCATCAGCATATCTTTAAAAATGCCCAGCTTGATAATTCGCAACACTCCTCTAACAATGTCAGCATCACTGAAGCTCTCTTTCAGCCCACTGTCTATCTGTCTGCACACATTGTCGTATGTGATGTCTGAGAAGTGATCTCCAATCTGGCCTCCGTGTATCTTAAACTCACGGGACTGGATATATGGAAACCCTCTCACAGGGAATGTAAAGTTGTGAGCTACACGTTTGGGCTGTTCTGTCTGGTGCATGTGTGCTGTAGTCCTGCCCCCCTGTGCTACAGTTTGAGTCAAGTTAACGTTCTGGGTAGGTGTCATGTACTGGTGGATTTTTCTGCCGATTTCTTCATATTCTGCAAGCATTTTATGTATGTCTGTTTGTTTCAGGTACGGCCCCCTTAATGCCCCCTGGTTTAGGTGCAAAAGGTGGTGGTGTCAGATAAGTGTCATGAGTGGTGTGTGGATGTACACGGTGAGTGTCTGTATGAACATCAGATGTACATGCACTAATACATGATTTTACAGTCTCGTGCAATGTCAACAGTTTACTCATACCTTGGTCCTCCGTCTCGAGTAAAGATTCACTTGACATGAAAGCATTGATGTACTCGATACAACCCTCATTGTCCTCCAGGTCCAGTTCAGATGAGTCTTTACCTGATATCGGCCCAATGACCTTGACGATGCGGAATAGTTCATCAGCAGGTAATGTGACCAGGTCCTTCCGGATCTCCCACACCAGGCGTTTCCTTGTACGATCTGCCATCATGTAGTTCACAGTTGTTCTACCGCAAAAGCCAACTCCACCTCAGGATGAAAACAGCCATCCGCTCAATCCTCTGTGTGTGTGTCTCATTGTCACTGCAGATGCAGCAGCCACCGGCCTCTAGCTCCAGCACCACCTCGTTGTCACCGCAGATGCAGCAGCAAAAAAAAAAACACAATTGTATACATAATTTGTGTGTATCACTTTAGTAATCTACCCAGCACTGTTTTAGTTCAGTTTGGACTTTGACTTAATTTGCACAATTCCCCTGCCCGCATTTGTCACCATGGTTACTAATTTGATTTTTGATCCCATTCAGCTGTGTCACCTCGTTATCCTGTGTATTTAAGTTCCTATGTTTTAAGTTTTAGTCATCCGGTCTTGTCTATGTTACTGCAGTGTTGTGCTTTATCTACCCTGTGTTTGGATTACTGTATCTGTGTTTTGGATTAAAGACAGAAACTTTTATCTTCCTCCTAGTGAGTTTGTCTACAGCGCAGTTATAACTGACCTAAAATGAGTAACCTAAATAACATTACTAACTACAGTTTTCATCATATAATCTGTAATCAGTATCTGACTACAATTTGTTAGTAATCTACCCAGCACTGCCTATCAGTGGATGGTGGCAGGTCACGTGACCTGTAGTAATCCTGTAGTAATTAGGATGCGGTATTACTGCACTTTTTAAGGCTGTTGTTCTGCTTCTCTGAAATTTGTATTTTTTGAGTGTTTTTCTGAGAATGACATCTAGTAGATATTTCATGATTTACAGACTTGCAGACACGTTTCACATATTTCACTCAAACACAGAACCAGGAAACATGATTTAAGGGAAAAAGAAAGTGAAAATGTAGTTGTGTGTTTGTGTCTCTGTATTTATGCAGTAAAATGGCAGAAGCCAGATTTTCTCAGAATGAGTTGATGTGTCCAGTGTGTCTGGATCTCCTGAAGGATCCAGTGACAATCCAATGTGGACACAGTTACTGTAAGAGCTGTATTACAGGCTGCTGGGATAAGGAGGATCAGATGAGAGTCTACAGCTGCCCTCAGTGTAAACAGACCTTCAGTCCAAGACCTGCTTTAGCTAGAAACACCATGCTGGCTGAAGTTGTGGAGAAACTGAAGAAGACCAAACTTCCCGCTGACTGTTACGCTGGAGCTGGAGATGTGCAGTGTGACGTCTGTACTGGAAGAAAATACAAAGCAGTCAAGTCCTGTCTGGTGTGTCTGGAATCTTACTGTCAAACTAATTTTGACCGTCATAAGGAATTTCATTCATGTAAGCCACACAAAGTGATCAATGCCACTGGAGGACTGCAGGAGATGATCTGCCAGAAACATGAGAAACATCTGGAAATGTTCTGTATTCCTGACCAACAATGCATTTGTGAGCTGTGTACAAAATATGAACCTAAAAACCATGACACCGTATCAGCTGCAGCATAGAGAAACTAGCGCTTACACTTGTAGTGTGAAACAAGCTTTAGGCCCAATCCCATTTCTACCCCTTACACTTACCCTCTGTTTCGCCCGTTCACGCGAATGGGTAGGGATGTCTCAATTCTCTTTTGGTTGGAGGGGTAGGGGGAAAGGCCATATATCCCTTCAAATGTAGGGGTAGGTGAAGGGGTATAAAATAGAATTGGGATTGGGACTTAATCTTCATGTTAATTTATGTACAATGGTGGTAAACAATCAACCATCCTTCCTGGAGTTTGAATCTACCGCCATTAGTTATCAGTTCCACTTTTACTGGATTCATCTGTTCAAATGATGATTTAGTGCCAGTAGTTTTCTGTAATATTTACTGTCATACATTTGTCCTGCAGAAGCAGCTGAAGGAGATGAAGAATACGTTCCAGCAGAGAATCCAGCAGAGAGAGAAAGATCTTCAGCAGCTGAGAGAGGCTGTGGAGTCTCATAAGGTGAGTCTGGAGAAGAAGAGAAGTTTGTCTCAGTCTCAGTTAAGACTCACTGAAGCCTGAATCACTGTGTGTCCTAACAGCGCTCTGCACAGACAGCAGTGGAGGACAGTGAGAGGATCTTTACTGAGCTCATCCGCTCCATTGAGAGAAGCCGCTCTGAGCTGATACGGCTGATCAGAGATCAGGAAAAGACTGCAGTGAGTCGAGCTGAAGGACGACTGGAGCGACTGGAGCAGGAGATCAATGATCTGAGGAGGAGAGACGCTGAGCTGGAGCAGCTTTCACACACACAGGATCACATCCAGTTCCTGCAGGTAACAGAGATCTAGAAGAACAGGATCATAGTTGACTTGAGACAGATCCTGCTGTGACAGGAGACTAACAGAGAAACATTTCATGAGTGTCTTATTATATAATCATCAGTCAGACTCTCATCTGATCATCTTCTTCTGAAAGAGACGCCGCTTACAAATGGCTTTCAGCTCTGGAAATCTCTTAGGAATCATTTCTTCTGGAAGATACATTTAGCTGTCAACCACCACTAACAGTTCAAAACTTCACTAACATTTCAACTTTTACTTTTTTTTTTTTTTTCCTCTGATTTATTATGTCACGGTGAAATCAGTGTACTCATTATTACCGATTCTGAGTTATGTTCATCAAAATTGGATCAGGTAATCCTCAAACCTGGTTAAATTGGTTTTTATTTGTCTGTAACACATTGATGAATTTGACGACGAGAACCCCAAACATGAAGTGAGGCTGTATATTAGCAATGCTTCAGTGTATTGAAACCAAACCAAACCCGAGCGTGTCTTAAGGGTCCTTGTGAAGTTTCAGTGTCTCTAACTGCTCTAAATTTATAAATAATAGTAAATCTAATCGTAGCCTTTGAGCTGATTTCCTGAGCAAATCTACTCAACCCTACAACGAGAATCCATTGAGCTGTTGGATGGGCATTTATGTTCTTAGCAGATGTTTTATCATCCAAACTGTTTCCTAGAAAGTTCACATAGAGTGTAAGTGTCAAATACTAGAATCTGTAGCTCTAATGTGATATAATGAATATGAGGAGAATGAAGCTGATGCTGTGAAAGTGCTGGATTGAGGTGAGTTACTAAAGATCAGTCAAGTCAACAAGAGCTGCACAAACCTGATGTTCCTGCAGGTTATTGGGTGAATTGTGGAGCTGATGAATTTGGATTTCTGTCTTCTGTAGAGTTTCCAGTCTCTCTCAGCACCTCTTGAATCTACAGATGTAAATGACATTCCCTTCAGTTCTCTCTTCCCTTTTGATAACCTGAGAGAATCTGTCCATCAGGTAAGAGACAAACTGGAGGATTTCTGCAAAGAGGAGCTCAAGAAGATCTCAGACAGAAGTAAAGTTCTGGAGATTCATCTGCTCTTAGAAACGAGTCCATCATCATTTCATATCATGGAGAACATCATATTAGAAATGTCTTAGGAATGGATGCAGGATCATGAGAATCACACTGTTCATGTCTGTTGATTTCCACAGTCACATTCACTAACATTGTTCTCTGGACCAGGAACGACTTCATACAATGTAAGTCAGTAAGAAAACAAGCAGAAAAACTCACTGAGAGTGTTCATGTTCTTCCTGTAAAGAATAGTTTTATAATTGATGTAAATGATGATTTGCACAGGATATCTGGTCATCTGTACTGAGACTGATGATACACTGAACATGAAGAGTTCAGCTACATGAAAAGATCAAACAGATTCATAATTCCTGATTCTGATGTGTTTTATCTCCATCAGATTCCCATCAGCTCACTCTGGATCCAAACACAGCATATAAACGTCTCTGTCTGTCTGAGAGCAACAGAGTGATTACTTACACTGACACAGATCAGCCATATCCTGATCATCCAGACAGATTTGATGGTTATTTGCAGGTGTTGTGTAGAGAGAGTGTGTGTGGATGCTGTTACTGGGAGCTGGAGTGGAGTGGAAATAGAGGTGTGTTAATATCAGTGCCATATAAGAGCATCAGCAGGAAGGGACGGGTGATGAGTGTTTGTTTGGATATAATTATCAGTCCTGGAGTTTGCACTGCACTCCCTTCAGATACTCATTCAGACACAATAACATAAAGACTGATCTTCCTGTAAAGTCCATCAGCAGTAGAATAGGAGTGTATGTGGATTACAGTGCAGGAATTCTGTCCTTTTACAGCGTCTCTGACCCAATGTAACAGTGAGATGTTATAGAGTCTCTTCTTTTCTCTTCAAGACATTAATAGTGCAGCTGAACTTCTGTCAGTAAAATAACATGTCAGAATAAATGTGTGTAATAAATCCTCACATAGACCGTAAGATCAGTGTGTGTGTGAATCCTACTGTGTGATAATGTGTATTACCCCTCAGTTACCTTGTTGCCCTCTGTCTATTTGTAGTGACAGTTTTGTTCTGTTCCTTTGTCTGGTGTCGCCGAGAGACCCGGCTCATTCCCACCACAGAGATCAATCCTGAGTCAATGCCAGCTAAGGAGCTAGAGCCAGCAGCCTCATCTGTCCCGGAAGAGGAGGCCAAGGTCCTGGCTGACCAGGTGTGTGAGCCGGCCAAATCGTCCATACCAGTGGGGATTTTAGTAGAACTGGATGAGCAGTTGACTGGGAAATCGAGGTAGTGCTTCCCAACCTGCCCATTCACAAACCTTCAACCTGTTGTGTTTTCGTCATCGCTGATTCCACTCAGCTTACAGTTTTTGTTGTCACCAGTCACATCCAGCACAGAGTGTTCTTCATCGTCACCAGTCCTGTCCATCACTCAGTCTGCTACCTCACCCAGTCTTCCTCTTCTTCACTCTCCACTGAAGCCAGCCATGCAGCCCTTATCCGCGTTGGGGCTTCCAGTCCCCAGCTCTGCCCTGGCTTAAGGACTCCCAGGCTCTGCCTCGTCCATTGGTGGCCCCAGTTCCACTTCGGCCCGTCAACCAATCAGCTCTGCCCTGGCTCCTTACCCCCTAGACTCCACCCGGGACCATCGGCCCTCATCCCACCGACTCCACCCTGGTCAGTCGTTGCTCCATTATCACCACGGACTTCTGGGATCTCTGCTGCGCTCCATTCCTTCACCCCTACGGCTCCATCTGTCTACTCCTTCCCTCAGGCTCACACGCGGCCCTCACTCACTTCATCGTCACCACAGTCCTCTGTGCCCGGTTGCATGAAAGCCCTTAAGTATTTTGACAGGGTATCCCTGAGGGTAAAAAAAATCACTAAGGCAAGGGATTTCTTTAAGAGCATTGCATCAAATGTCTTAACTGTCACCCTTACCTAAGTGTTTATACTAAGCATTTCCTGGTAGTTTCTGGAAACATACGGCAATAGGCACTGCAGATGCTATAGTTACTACATCTCACAGTAAACAGAACATAACGAACCACAAACATAAACTCTGCTAAAACCACAGTTGTATAAATATATTTGCAGTATGGAGACTACCAACATTACAGAAAATGTAAACCAAACTGGACCGATTACGAAAGGGAGAAGAATACGCAAAAAGTAAAAACAGTTTCCAAAATCACTATAACCCATCAGTCAATTATCATCCGTCCCGGAAGAGGAGACCAAGGTCCTGGCTGACCAGATGTGTGAGCCGGCCAAATCGTCCATACCAGTGGGGATTTTAGTAGAACTGGATGAGCAGTTGACTGGGAAATTGAGGTAGTGCTTCCCAACCTGCCCATTCACAAACCTTCAACCTGTGTGTTTTCATCATCGCTGATTCCACTCAGCTTACAGTTTTTGTTGTCACCAGTCACATCCAGCACAGAGTGTTCTTCATCGTCACCAGTCCTGTCCATCACTCAGTCTGCTACCTCACCCAGTCTTCCTCTTCTTCACTCTCCACTGAAGCCAGCCATGCAGCCCTTATCCGCGTTGGGGCTTCCAGTCCCCAGCTCTGCCCTGGCTTAAGGACTCCCAGGCTCTGCCTCGTCCATTGGTGGCCCCAGTTCCACTTCGGCCCGTCAACCAATCAGCTCTGCCCTGGCTCCTTACCCCCTAGACTCCACCCGGGACCATCGGCCCTCATCCCACCGACTCCACCCTGGTCAGTCGTCACTCCATTATCACCACCATTCCACGTTCAAAGTCACTTAAATCCCCTTTCTTCCCCATTCTGATGCTCGGTTTGAACTTCAGCAAGTCGTCTTCACCACGTCTAGATGCCTAAATGCATTGAGTTGCTGCCATGTGATTGGCTGATTAGCAATTTGTGTTACCAAGCAATTGAACAGGTGTACCTAATAAAGTGGCCGGTGAGTGTGTGTGTATATATATATATATATATATATATATGGTACGTTTAATGCTAAGTTTTAAACAAGTTTGATAAAAAAAGGAATCTAAAAATAAGATTTTAGTATGTCTTCATTTGCATCATTCCACTGCTCGCATTTGTCACAATGGTTACTGATTTGATTTGCTATCACGTTCAGCTGTATCACCTCATCATCCTGTGTATTTAAGTTCCTGTGTTTTCAGTTCTAGTTGTCTGGTCTTATCTACGTTACTTCAGTTTTGTGCTCTATCTACACTGTGTTTGGATTAAAAACATTTGAAATTTTCATCTTTCTCCTAGTGTGTTTGTATACGCACAGAGAGCTTACCACAGACAGAGAGCCCAAGCCCACCGCAATGTGTGAGACAGCGCATGTAGGAGCGACTGAGCAAATCATCGTCCCAGAGTGCAAGCCTCACAAGTCTGACCAGGTGCATGAGCCGGCAGCACCATCCATCGTGGGAGTAATAGTGGAGTATGAGGGAATGGAAAGGAGCCCCGCCCACACTCCCGTCGCTTAGAGTGAGATACCCTGACAACATGAAATACCATGACATCTACAGTATCTCACAGAAGTGAGTACATCCCTCACATTTTTGTAAATAAGGCAGCTTCCTGCAATACAAAGTCAATGGAGAGGGTTGGTTTTCAGATTATGACGCGTGTCATCTCTATGGATCCCCTGGCTCCACCACCAGCCACTGATACCATCACTACACCTTGGGCCGTCGCCCTGACTCCTCAGCCTTTGCTTTTTCCTTCCTTTGCTCCACCAGGGACCATCGGGCTTACAGCTCCACCGGGCTCCATCGGACCATCGTCTCCACCTTCATTAAACTTGACCCTTCCTATGCCACAGACTTGCGAGCCATCTGCTACACTCCGTCTCTCCCACAGCTACGCCATTCCTCCTACCTCAGGTCCACCTTGGGGGGGGGGGTTTATCACTACAACTCCATCGCAGCCTCCAAAGCCTATGGTGTCGTCTGGTCCACTGTGCCCAAGGCTCCAATTCCATCGGCTCCATTGCCTTCATTCATCACCATGGTGGCATTGAAGTCTACATTCCAACAGCTCCTCCCTCCAGCAATGCTGCCGTGGATCGCTGTCATGGCTGTGGCCTGGATCACCATCTGGCGCCCCCTGCTCCTGACCTTTCCATGGCTCACTCCACCATCTTCACCACCTTGGTGTCTTCAGTTTTCACCTCTCCCAGGTTCCAGTCCTCCACCAAAGCCTCCTCTATCCATCTGCCGGCATGAAGTCGCGCCTTTCTGGGAGGAGGCGTACTGTCATGGTTTTAGTTCAGTTTGGACTTTGACTTCATTTGCACAATTCCCCTGCCCGCATTTGTCACCATGGTTACTAATTTGATTTTTGATCCCATTCAGCTGTGTCACCTCGTTATCCTGTGTATTTAAGTTCCTATGTTTTAAGTTTTAGTCATCCGGGCT